AATATCCCATCTGGCAGCAGGAAGCCATTCTCTGTGCCCTGTCCCTCCATCCCCTGTCCCTGTCCCACCCTCCCAGCCCCCCTGAAGAGCTCCCTGTGCAGCCCAGGGGGGCATTACCGATGCACTCGGTGCCCGAGGGGCTGACTTCGAAGCCCTCGTTGCAGTCGCAGCGATAACTCCCGGCCGTGTTCACGCAGCGCCCGTTGGGGCAGATCCCGGGCTTGGTGCGGCACTCGTTCTCATCTGCCAGGGGGACACCACACACGGCCCTGCTGAGGCCAGGGACAAACCCTCCCGGCTTCCCACTCCCCCTGGAGCACCCTCACCGAGCCCCCGAGGATCCCTTCCGTGCCTCTGGGCAGCTGGGAGGAACCTCTGCCTGCCCTGGGGAAATCACCCACCCCTCCCAGGCTTCTCCCACAGCAGGGGGGGCAGAATTCCCTGGCTTTCCCATGCTCCAGCTGCTGCTGGGATTGGATTGGACTGGATTGGACTGGTTTGGACTGGATTGGACTGGATTGGACTGGTTTGGACTGGATTGGACTGGATTGGATTGGGTTGGACTGGATTGGACTGGATTGGACTGGATTGGATTGGGTTGGATTGGATTGGATTGGATTGGATTGGATTGGGTTGGATTGGGTTGGATTGGGTTGGATTGGATTGGATTGGACTGGATTGGGTTGGATTGGATTGGGTTGGATTGGATTGGATTGGATTGGATTGGGCTGGATTGGACTGGATTGGATTGGATTGGACTGGATTGGAGCCATCTCTGTCCTGTGCATCTCTGGGTTGTTCATTCCCACCCATTCCAAAAGCAGCTCAGGAAGGCTCAGAAGGACACGTGGTGGCACAGGGCTGTGTCACCCCGGGGGGACAGGGACGCACAGAGGTTTGTGTGTCCTGTTGGGACACTCGGGAGGCTGTGACATGTGGGAAAACCCAGGGAGGATCCCGAGGATGTAAAATACAGGATGTGAAATACAGGATGTGAAATACAGGATGCAGAAGAAAGGAGGATGCAGAAGAAAGGAGGATGCAGAGCACAGCCCCGTGGATGGATGATCCCTCGGAGAGGACGCTCCCCGTGGCCCGGGGTGCCCCCAGCCTGCCCCGGTACCTGTGCACCCCTCTCCATCGGGCCGGCGCTGCATCCCCGGCGGGCAGATGCACATGAAGGTGCCGATCAGGTTCTTGCAGAGCATCCCCCGGGACTCGCAGTCGTGCAGCCCCTCTGCGCACTCGTCCAGATCTGCACCGAGACCGTCAGAGCCCTGCCAGCCCCAGCTCTGCCCTCCCTGCGCTGCTCTGCCCATCCCCGCAGCCCGGCTGGCACACAGCCTGAAAACACCACGGAACGAGCCTGGGACTGCTCCAGTGCCACCCCTGCCACGGCAGGGACACCTCCATGGCAGGGACACCTCCATAACAGGGACACCCCCATGACAGGGACACCTCCACTGCAGGGACACCCCCACGGCAGGGACACCTCCCATAACAGGGACACCCCCATGGCAGGGACACCTCCATAACAGGGACACCCCCATGGCAGGGACACCTCCACTGCAGGGACACCTCCATGGCAGGGACACCTCCCATGGCAGGGACACCTCCCATGGCAGGGACACCTCCATGCAGGGACACCTCCATAACAGGGACACCTCCATGGCAGGGACACCTCCACTGCAGGGACACCTCCATTGCAGGGACACCTCCCATGGCAGGGACACCTCCACTGCAGGGACACCTCCATGGCAGGGACACCTCCCACCGTCCCACGCTGCTCCAAACCCCTCCCAGCCAAACCTCAGACAATTCCAGGGATCCAGGGGCAGCCGCAGCTGCTCTGGGAAACCTCGGCACCCTCCCAGGGAAGAATTCCTCCCTGGCAGGGACACCGAGGTGGGTGACGCTGAGGAAAGGCAGCGCAGGATTCCCATCCCCGCACACAGCTGGCCGAGCGCGGGGGCTGGGCTGGGCTTGGGCCGTGCCCTGCTGGCTGCAGAAGGGGTTTTACCTCTGCACATCCTCCTGTCCTCCCGCAGCGCGTACCCAGAGGGGCAGGTGCACTCGTAGGAGCCGAAGGTGTTGATGCAGCGGAAGGCGCAGAGCAGCGGGTTCAGGGAGCACTCGTTGATGTCTGCAGGGAGGGCAGGACAGAGCTCACCTGGGTGCCCTCAGCAGGGACCTCCCCAGGGCACAGCCACCCTTCCTGGGCATCCTTCCCTCCACAGCTTTGATGGGAACGGGCTGCTGCTCCCTGGGGAGCTCCCGTGTTCATCCAGGGCTCCAGGCTGCTCCTGCGCTCCAGAGGGGCTGACGGAGCCCAGCGAGGGGAGCAGCTTTTCCACACCATCCCTGGGGGGCTGGCCCGGGCGGGGCGGGGGTCCCACAGAGCCCAGCGGGGTGGGGATGAAGGGTCTGTGGCCCAGGGTTACCTTCACAGGTCATCATGGGCCCCGGCTCAAAGCCCTCGTCGCAGGCGCACTCGAAGCCTCCCACCACGTTGGTGCAGGTGCCGTTCCCACAGGGATTGCCAATGGAGCACTCGTCCGTGTCTGGGAACACGGCAGCGTGAGCAGGAGCAGGAGCAGGAGCAGGAGGAGGAGGAGGAGGAGGAGGAGGAAGATGGGGCTGGGCTGGGCTCTTGCAGGCAGAGCCCCCAAAGTGTCCCAGCAGAACCGGGATGGAAGGGAAGGGGCAGGGCAGCAG